CCCCCTGACCACACTCAGAGTAGCACTATCTAGAGTTCCTCATTTCTAAATCAATCTATTCATTCTTTTAATTATCCATCCCAGGAGGTTGTGGTTCTTAGATCCTTGGTCATTCTGACTACTCTTCTCTAGAAATCAACCCCTTAAAATGTGGCATATGGAAAGAACCCATTGTTCCTGATGTAAGTGACCAGTGCAGAATGCAGTGGGGGCTGACCTTTTGAGTCTTGGGATCTGTGCTCTGGTCATGCATCCTAAGGTTAGTGCCTTTGTTTAGTAGCCATATTACATGGCTATGTCACATTAAGTTATATCTGCCAGAACTCTCAAGTCTATGAATAAATAGGAAGGTCTGCTGAACTATGTTTGTTTCATCCTGCCATCCTATAGTTGATTTTTGAAGTTAGAGTCATTATATTTTAAATTGTGAAATTTCATCTTATTAACAGGTCATCCTTCACTTCTCTTAAGCTCTATACACTTCTCAATATTGCTCTTCTTTAACAACAATAACTAGTTTCGTCTGTCTGGGGTTTATATGGTATTTTCACATATGGTCCCATTTGGTTCTGTTGATAAATCGTCCTAGATGTGCATTATTATTGTTTTTATTTTATAACTGAGAAAACTGAGTCTCAAAGAACCATTAGCAAATAGACTTATACCATCTTTACAGTTTAAAAACACGAGTTCTGACCCATTCAGGTTCCTCTTAATATGGTCATAACCTTGAGACATTCTTCCTTCGGTTATTTACAGTCTTTTAGTCACACACTTTGGAGGAGTTACTCAACCAGTTACTAACAAAACTCTCTGCAGCAGGCTTGTCCAACCCTCAGCTCATGGGCTACATGTGGCCCAGGACAGTTTTGGATGTGCCCCAACACAAATTCATAAGCTTTCTTAAAATATTATGAGTGTTTTTGTAATTTTTTTAAGCTCATTAGCTATCATTAGTGTTAGTGTATTTTATGTGTAGCCCAAGACAATTCTTCTTCTTCCGACATGGCCCAGGGAAGCCAAAAGATTGGACGTCACTGTGTAGCATCTAGCTAGTAAGCCATATTGTCCACAACATGAGAACTTTTTTCAGTTTCCTTGCTGAAATTCTGATGTTCCATGTCCCTGGTATGTCCATGATCAACTAAACCACTGAGACAGGAGAATAAAATTAGCTTGATGTGTCCTTTTCTTTATAAGCACATTTACTCCTAGAGATTTCCATTTTGCATTTCTAAATAATCACAAGCTATTCATTGTTAAAATTATCAAACTCAAAAAATTATCAAACAGAGGAAATCTGATAATCTCTTTTAAACGATCAGTACACTTCCATAAATACCACTGGAGAGTCTGCTACGTGCCTGATGCTCTGTGGGTCTCGAGTGTGTACAAAAACCTTAAATTCTACTGCAATGTGTTTTTCATACCGCAGATCATGGCCCCTCGGTAGGTTGTCAAGTGAATTTGGTGGATCACAAACAACAATAAAACAAAACAAACAAACAAACAAAAACAGACTAAACTAGACTAAAAAGGATTAGAATACAAACAAACAAGGATAATTTCTTAAGCATTTTTTTTTTGCTTTAGTGTAGTCAGTATATGTGCCCTGAGTTGTGATGGAAAATAGATTTTTTGTTATATGTCACTATCAAATAGTTTGAAAGATCCATCATTGGTGGAAGAAACAGATACACCATTTCAATACCCTTTGGGGCATACGATGTCATTGTAGGCACAGGATGCCAAGGAAGAATGGTCATTTTTTTCTCTGTTGCATTTTGTTTTTTATTGCTTTGGTTTTTGTTTGTTTGCTCTGGTTCAAGCAACGTAAATACTGCAAAAACTTCCCTAAGTTTGCCTTTTCTCCCAGGAGATCGCTGCTTTTTCACATACCTTAGTTGGGCTGTAAATATCTTCTTGTTGGCCAAAGGGAGTATAATAAGCTCTTAGAGACCAGCAGACAGGGCCAGGCTTTCCCGTCCCAGGCCACCGTGCCCAGCTTGGCATGTGTTCTTAACCTAAATAAAGGAATCCCTATCCAACTAGTATGTGGTGTGCTGGCATCCTAACCAGGTTTGAGAGAGGTAGTTGGGGCCAACACTAAATGTTGTAGTTTCTATTTTTAAATATCTATATTATCTTTAAAGTCATATCCTTTTTTTGCCTTCTCAAAAACTCTTTGCTAAAAGGGCTTTTTCACAGTCCTTATTTAATATCAGTTTCTCACTATCTTTCTAAAATGCAATACAAAAATCCAGTAAGTTCAACGTTCAGCCTATCATGGTGCCTTGTGTATAAATGACACTCAGATATCAGTTTTTGTTATATCAATCACAGGAAAAGAGGGAGTAGAAAGTACTAGTAATAAAGTATATTTTGAGTCATCATTCTGGAGTCTTGCCTTTTTTCCACTTGTACAGTTACAACTTTCTAAACTCTTTCACCAGAGCTTTATACAACTTTTAAAAAATCAAAGGTAATTTTCCACTGTGATCTCAATGCTATAGAATTCTTGTTTGTTTCTTTTTCTTTTCTTTTCCTTTTAAGAGACAGGGTCTTGATATGTTGCCCCAGCTGGACTCAAACTCCTAGGCTCAAGAGACCTTCCACCTCTGACTCCCAAGTAACTAAGATTACAGATGCGAGCCACTGTGTTAGTCCATTTTTCATCCTGCTGATAAAGACATACCTGAGACTGGGTAATTTATAAAGAAAAAGAAGTTTAATAGACTCCCGGTTCCATGTAGCCAGGGAGGCCTCACAATCATGGTAAAAGGTGAAAGGCACATCTTACATGGCAGCAGACAAGAGGGAATGAGAGCCAAGCAATAGGGGTTTCCCCTTATAAAACCATCGGATTTCATGAGACTTATTCACTACCACAAGAACAATACAGGGAAAACCATCGCCATGATTCAGTTAACTCCTACCAGGACCCTCCCATAACATGTCAACATGTGGGAATTATGGGAGCTATAACTCAAGATTAGATTTTGGTGGGAACACAACCAAACCATATCAGCCACCGGACCTGACTTCTAAGCTATAGAATTCTTAACAGTACGTTGGCTTTGTACTTGCTTTCACTTTAAACTTGAATGTTCAAGTTTGTTATTTAGTCCAACCTACATAGAAACTAGGTTTTGAGGGAATGAATAAGAATAGGAAGATCCCTACAATGATTAACTGTGCATCTGCTTACGTTTCCTTAAAAACAAAACACTGCAAGGTTAAGGTGGATGCTGGATACGTAAAAAGATTGATAAGCAACTGAACAAACATTGAAAGATACAAATAAGCAGGTGTTTCAGTGAGGGACTGCTGAATGCACTACCTTATTTAATCCCTTCAGCAAGCCTATGAGGCAAGACCTGCTGTAATCTCATATTATAAGTGACAGAAACTTACTTAAGTGAGGGTAAGTAGCTTGTGGACAGTCACCTAGTTCTGAACTGGTATCACTGACACTTGGAACCAGGTCTTAAAACTGAACGCCCAAGTAGAATAAAATAAATTTAATTCAATTCACAAAAGAATAAGCAACTATTATTTCCTTGGCATGGAGAGGCTAGACACATGAATAAATATGTTTATATGGATGAAACAAAGAAACACAGGTCCTGCTCTTTTTTTTTTTTTTTTTTTTTTTTTTTTTTTTTTTTTTTTTTTTTTTTTTTTTTTTTTTTTGGAGACAGGTTCTCACTTTGTTGCTGAGACTGGGGGGTGCAGTGGTGCCATCACAGCTCAGCTCACTGCAGCCAGCCCGGCTCTTGATGACCCTACCTGTAACAGCTGAGCGTGGAGGTTCTCAAGCAGGAGGCTTCTAAACTATAAAAACAAGAAATCATATGATTCTATTTGGACTACACTGTGGAAAGCTGTTGAGATGGGGAAGATGCTGGAGACAGGGCTTCTCCCACATTTTCACTATCACAGATCCAGGGAGAGGTGGCAAGGGCCTATGCTAAGGGAATGAGAATGAAATTACGAATGAGGGAACACATTGGAAAATCAGTTCAAAATTGGGTCTTGGTGATATGCTTGGTGAGGATGAGGCAGGATCTGATGATTCAGTTCATTTCGGAAGGAACCCATATGCTCTAGGTCAATGTCTGTGCTGGGCCCAAGGCTATGCAAAGCTAAGCAAGGCCATCTCCAGCCTCAGGGAATGCAGACGCTGCTCTCTCAGGGGCTGCAAATTCAGGCAGAAACAAGACAGCTAGAGTCAATGTGTGAGACACAGAGCGTAAGACAGTGCCAAGCTGTGGGGACCCACCGCGGCCACACAGAGGCGTGCACTCTGCCAGCGGTGTTCCGACTCGGAGTTAATTCGACAGAAAATGACTGCTCATGCAAAGTAGCCACATTGGACTATCATCAGATAGTGATCTCCAGAATGGCTCTCTCCTTCCTACCTAAAGAATATCAGTGGGTCATTTTGCTGTTACCTTATCCAGGAAATACACAATAAGAATCAAGCGCAGGAGACTAAAATAGGGAGTGTTAGCCTTGAGATATACCGACGCTGAGATTCAGAAGAGGCAAGCTGGAAATACGGTCCCTGGGGCTCAGTGAAGAGGTTTCTGAAAGAAGTAAGTGCCTTTTATGGCAGAGTTGAGTTTCTGTGTGAAAAAGAAGACTGCAGGTGCTTCATATTTAGACCATCTAGTCTGATGTAATTATACCCTCTTTGTAATCAGTCAGGGAAAACTTCTTAGAGAGGAAGGAAGGAAACATTCAACACCACTATAAAAATGGGAAGGAAGGAAGGTTGACAAGTTGAGAAGAGTCCTCTGGCCACCCGGAGGACGGGTATGTACAAGACAGTGAAAGTGATGGAAAGCTTAGTGGTGCCCACGCAGCCCACAACACCTGTGCATGGGAGGACAGAGGGAAAGGAGGTGGAGGACCGCGCAGGGCTGCCCTCAGCATGCCCAGAGTTCCTGCCTCAGCCACACTGTCTGCTAACGAGCATCTTCCTTGGTGTTCCGCAGGGTGACGACTCCGATGAGGAAGATCTTTGTATCAGCAACAAATGGACTTTCCAGAGAACCAGTCGCAGGTGGTCTCGTGTGGACGACCTCTACACCCTGCTCCCTCGAGGAGACAGAAATGGGTCACCCGCAGGCACGGGGATGAGGAACACGACCAGCAGTGAGAGTGTCCTCACAGACCTGAGCGAGCCTGAGGTCTGCTCCATTCACAGTGAAAGCAGCGGGGGCAGCGACGGCCGCAGCCAGCCGGGCCAGTGCGGTACCGACAGCCCGGTCATGCTGGATGCCCCACTGGTCAGCAGCAGCCTCCCGCAGTCCCCCAGAGACATCCTCAGCCACCCCTTCCACCCCAAGAATGAGAAGCCCACCAGGGCCAGGGCCAAATCATTTTTGAAACGCATGGAAACTCTCCGAGGGAAGGGAGCCCATGGGAGGCATAAGGGGTCAGGGCGGACAGGTGGCCTGGTGATCAGCGGGCCCATGTTGCAGCAGGAGCCAGAGTCCTTTAAGGCCATGCAGTGCATCCAGATTCCAAATGGAGATCTCCAGAATTCGCCGCCACCTGCCTGCAGAAAGGGGCTCCCATGCTCCAGCAAGTCGAGTGGCGAGAGCAGCCCGTCAGAGCACAGCAGCAGCGGGGTGAGCACGCCCTGCCTGAAGGAACGCAAGTGCCACGGGGCCAACAAGCGCGGGGGCATGTACTTGGAGGACCTGGATGTGCTGGCAGGGACAGCACTGCAGGATGCAGGGGACCAAAGCCGTACGCATGAGTTTCACTCCCAAGAGAACTTGGTGGTGCATATTCCCAAGGATCACAAACCAGGAACATTCCCCAAGGCGCTTTCTATTGAAAGCCTGTCTCCCACAGACAGTAGCAATGGGGTTAACTGGAGGACCGGTAGCATCTCCCTGGGCAGACAGCAGGTTCCTTGTGCCAGGGAGTCCAGGCTCATGGCATCCTGCCACAGAGCCAGCCGAGTCAGTATCTATGACAACGTCCCTGACTCCCATCTGTATGCCAGCACAGGAGATCTTTTGGACTTGGAGAAAGATGACTTCCTCCCTCACTTGGATGACATTCTGCAGCATGTCAACGGGATCCGGGAGGTAGTAGATGACTGGTCCAAAGATGTTTTGCCTGAACTGCAAACTCATGATACGTTGGTTGGGGAACCTGGCCTATCCCCCTTTCTGCCTCCTAATCAGATCACCTTAGATTTTGAAGGTAACTCTGTCTCAGAAGGTCGGACCACACCCAGTGATGTGGAAAGAGATGTAACATCTCTTAATGAATCTGAGGCTCCAGGGGTCAGAGACAGGAGGGATTCTGGTGTAGGGGCCTCTCTGACCAGGCCAAACAGGTAGGTGGCATGCACTTGTGAAATGATTTTTCATCCATTTCCTAGTAATTGTGTTCTGTTTATTTTTTTAACAAACATGCAGAGTATTTACTAAACGCCTGACTCTAAGTGGTGTGTGTGATTAGGAATTGTTTGAACAGAAGTATGACTTCTGGTACAGATATCATGGTGATTGAATCCATGTTAACTTATATTCATTTTCTGCCTATCATTTATTTCTATCTTAGTTTTATCCAAAAAAAATATTTTGAGCTTCTTACATGCAAAGCATTATACCAGGCACCATATGCAAGGAATCCTGCATAACCAAGACCCAGTTCCCAGGCATAGCCTCTTCCCCTGACCTTCCTGTGATACATTCATCAAAACGTGTCTTCCCCATATTTTATACTTTTTTTGCTCCTAAAAGAAATTTCTGAGGTCTAAGATGTGTCCACTGTGCATTTGTTTTTGCTTTAAAGGACCAATTACAAAGTGCATAAAAGCTGACTTACAAAGACCGTTTCAGAAGCACCCTAGAAAAATGGCCCTGGGAGGCCCAAACTAGTGGAAACAATTCCACTGTGTGTGCTGCTGGGTTTCTGGTTGAGGCAGGGGTGCGTCTTGGGGCTCAGTGATACATCACCGTCTGTGCTGCTCATCTCAGGCTCCATCTCATACTGAGCAAGAGCGAATGTGTTGAGACATGGAAGACAATGAGAAAATATTCTGCAGCCCCAGACATTTCACAGCTCTCCCTGACTCTCTCTCTCTCTCTTGCTCGCTTTCTCTGTGTGTTTCTTGCTCCCTGTCTATATCTCTCTCTATTTTTCTCTTTTTCTATGTTGTTCTACCTATCTCTCATCTCTGTCCTTCCTCTCTCTGTTTGTCTCTGTCTCTGCCTCTCCATCTCTCTCTTCATCTTTCTATCTCTGTCTATCTATCCTCTGCCTCTGTCTCTGTCTGTCTCCTTCTGTCCCATCCCTCTGTCTCTCCATCTCTCTGTCTCTCTCCTTTCTATCTCTCTGTTGGCTTTCTTTGCATCTGTCTACATCTCCCTGTTTCACTTTGCTCTTTCTTTCTCTCTCTCTCTCTCTCTCTCTCTCTCTCTCACACACACACACACACACACACACACACACACACACACACAGTCTCAGCTGCTCTCAATGCTTTGGGAACAAATTTGGAATAAGCAAACAACCTTTCTTCTATCACTTATTTAAACCTCCTTATAAAACGGATAATAAGACTTTTTCCAGATTTATCCGACTTGGAACAATCATGTCCTATGTTTATCCTGCACATTCGTGTCTTCCGTTCCAATTTGCTTTGTGATTTTCTTGGCTTGGACACTATCTTGATTAGCTGTGTATACATTGGTGATGTCCGTGTTTCCTGCCACCAAGTCCACTTTGTGACTGCCTTCTCTGATGGTCTCTCTGGTAAAGGCGACTCCGATGGAACAGTTTCCAGCTGTCTCACCAGCCCCGGCCGGCCCCAGCATCACCCCACATCAGCAGCCAGACAGCTGGCCAGCTAAGCCTGCTCCAGCGCTTCTCGCTGCTCCGCCTCACGGCCATCATGGAGAAGCACTCCATGTCCAACAAGCACGGCTGGACATGGTGCGTAGCACGTTCGCCGGGAGGGCACTGCTGGCTCTAGAGCTAAGTGTGTGATTGCAGGGCTCCCATGTTAATTTGTGATTTCTGAAGAACCCGTTCATTGCCTTCACCGATGATCTCCTGGACGTAAAGCATGAGCTCTGCCGTAGCCCTGAGGCGCGGGAGCTCACAGGAAACGTTGCCCTATCTGTAGCTCTCAGTTGGTTTCCAGGGAAGGCAGTTCAGCTCCAAGAAAGAAAAAAAGACAAGTAAAGGGTGATTAATTGTGAACAGAGGAAATAAAAATAAACTTGCCATAAAATAACCCTGGCAGTTGGTACAGAAACAGCTGTCACTTGTTCCTTCTGGTCTGATGCAAAGCTCACCGCTTGGAGCATTGATTCATTCAAAGAGCATTTAATTCTTCGAGTACATTGCTGCTTTTATTTCGTTGGCAAATAGAAACAAGAATATGCAGTAAACCTTGTAATAAGGAATTGACAGAAGCATATGTTAGAATGTGGACCTATTATAGATGATTTGCTGGATTTGAAATCATAAAAAATGTGTTGGTAATTGTCCTATGTTTTATATTACGTATTTTTTAAAAATCAATGGTGCTTTTATAAAATAGTTTAGAAGGTTATAAACTGCATGGTCAAATCAATATATGCCTGTGTATTAAAATGTCCTTTAAAAACTGCAGCTGGCTCTAGAAAAGTGAGGACAGAGCCAAGACATGTTCTTTCTCTTTTCTCTCTTCCTTTTCCTTCAACCCCAGCCAGATTTCTTCTTCCTCTTGTAATTTTTAAATTCGTTTTGATTTGTTGGGGACTTTTAAGTGTTCAGCACTTGAGAGAGGAGTCTATCACAATTAAATTGGAAAGTTGTCCACTTGACCTAAAAACAGAGCTGCAAATACATTCTGCTAACATGACTCATGCTGTTTAGTAGTTAGAGAGCACGCAGGCAGAGGCCACACAGAGCACGGTGGGTCGTGTGATGAATGCAGAGAGCATGCTGAATTCGCCCCGTGTCTGTTGGGTATTCCAACAAAAGCTTGGCTTCCCTCATGCTTGCTTCCAGAGCCTCTCCCCACAGTATGCCCCAGGAGGCTTGCATGACCTGGTTTCTGTAAATTCTAGGTCAGTTCCAAAGTTCATGAAGAGGATGAAAGTTCCCGACTACAAAGACAAGGCTGTCTTTGGCGTTCCTCTCATCGTCCACGTCCAAAGAACGGGACAGCCCCTGCCTCAGAGTATTCAGCAAGCACTGAGATATCTCCGCAGCAACTGCCTCGATCAGGTAGGGCTGTAACCCACCCCCCAACCATGGGATTGGATTGATGCGATGCCAGACTGAGTCAGAGCTGCCCAGTATCAGGCAAGATATGCCTCACCAAAAATAAAAGGCAATGTTTTATTTGAACAAGCTACATCCTATTTGAGGATGTTTCCTCATTGGCAACTTAAACGATGACCTGGAGTGACTCCTGCGATGTCTAATTTGCAATCCCTAAAATCTGGAGTTAAGCTATCTACTGCATTTCCTGTTTAACTATTGTTTCAGTGCCACCATTGATTTCATAGCATTCTTTTCTCTCTGTTATATTATTTTTGAAAAAGAATTAGGTTTTTTATGCCTCCTTTTATTGGTTCTTTTTTTTTTTCTTTTGAAGCAGCATCATGACCAGGAAAACTTAAACCAAAGATAGATTTATTTATATCTTTTAAAAATGTCCAAATAAAATATGAACAAAAGTATCAGCTAAGTCAAATGTCCCTTCATTTTATAAAGTTGATTCAAAACTCAAGCTCTCCAAAATATTCAGAGATCAATTTCTGCCTCCAGGACTTTTGGGGCCCACCATAATGGTGGGCTGTGATTAAGTCCAGAGTGCAATCCATCCTGTAGTTTATAAAGCAAAGCCTTTCCTCCTCCAAATTAATACACATTAGCTTCTTAGACATTCTGTCCAAAATAAAAGCTGTGTTCTTAATTGATAATTTGCAACCCTGAATAGTGGGTATATTTCCAGGTAGCTATTCTGTAACAGATTCTGTTTATCATAATTTTTGATGTCATGCAGAGAATCTGTACCAACCTAAGATTATTTGTACCTTTTATTGATTTACCCTGGACCTTGGGCTTATGGGCAGGAATGAGCTCAGCTACATGAACTCAAAGATCCTGGCTGGTGATGCTTGTAGAGACTCCAATACTGAGACCATACTTAGTATCAGGCTGGTCTCTTGGTAAATCAGATATCAATTTTCAGTGCAGAAAAATAGAAGTAACTTTTTCATTTGAAGTCACCTTTGATTGAACTGAGAGTGTGATCACCTTTGTTCCTCCTCACTTTTAATTTAGAGAATCCGCACATAACATTTTTCTATATTTGGATGTCATCACGGAGGGTGGGATGGCTGCTGTCATTGTTGTGATGATAGCCATTTAGTTTTGAGAAATATACTTAACAGCTTGCCTCTTATTCCCCAGAAATAAGGGTGACAGGCTACTTTTCAAGGGTTCTCTTCTTTGGCAGATGCTCCAACATGAATTGACTTGTGAATCACATCCTAATAGAGTCAGCCAATGGATCTGGTTACTTACACATGCATTTTAATTTTTTTTAGCTGTAGAGGTTTTACTAAGAATACACATTATTCCAAGATCATGTTCTAAAGATGTTTTACTGAGAAAAATGTTTAGAGAGGTGGGCTCTGGTGAACCTTTGGGAAAGCCTACTCTAGTCTCTACTCCAATGCTAGAAGTATTGCACCATGTCACTTGGCATAGAACTTTGTGGCCTCAATTGTACGTTTGTTGTTGGTTTGTGGGTGCAGACCCAAGATTGTGTTTTGTTCAGAGACATGTTTTTCCAAGCAACTCAATTTCTGTAAGGTATGTGTCAAACTCACCTCCTTCTTGGTGCTCTTTGAGACTTTGGCTTTGCCCTGTACCAAGCACAGAGAATATTTTGCTCCAAAAGCATGGCCAGCTAATGCTTATCAGCAAAAGCTCTATTAAGAGAAAACAGTGTTCAGGAATGGCTAAAGGAAGTGCAGCCTATCTGTGTCATTAGTTCAACAAAAATAACCTCTCTTGACCACCTGGCATGTTTTAAGAAATTGTACTAAGTGCTTACATTAACTGCCTCATTTACTCCCATATCCACCCTTGAATGGTGTTATCCCCAGGTCACTGTAGTGGAGCCAACACTTGCTTGCAGATCTAACTCCGGAGTCCAAGTTCCTAACCACTGCACTCTGCTGCTGCTTATTATAATTGCTTTTCCCCAGTGGACTTTGGGGTGATGCCATGTCTAGCATTGAGGAGTAGCCCTATACAACTCCCTGATGAATTAATTCACTATCAGGATTTTGTAGTTGATGTTGGTCATTAAGTCATGTAACATGCTTTCTGTGAGACGGGAAGAAAAAAACTTCCTTCTCTGGCTACAGCACCTGAAAACATTGTGTTTCTTTTGGACAAATGGTCTGTTTTTTAATACTGTGCACACCAAACTCATTCATGTGGGTGTCTTTTTTTCACTGTAATGGCTGCTAGAAAGCCTGGAGCCCAGTATGTGTTCTGTCTGTAGTAAATACGTGTAATTTTTTGGCATGAATTTTATGCATCAACCTTATTCCTCGTCTCATCCACCCTTTTCTGTCTTTGTTTTCCTTTTGCTGTAATTTTCTTATCTTTTATCTTTAATTTAATTGTATCTTATTATATTTTATAGATTACTGTAAATCCCCTTAAATTCTTTCTTGAACAAGAGCGGGTATAAATAATTGAATTGTAATTCCACTATTCCATTCACCACAGAGTATTTAGTGTAGACTATAAACCATTCCTGCCCCTTGTAGCTTCTGAAAAACATGTAGTGCCATTATCACTACTGTTAGTGGGGCCAGTCTCCCTTTGGAAGCAAAAGTCATATCAAGAGGGAGAAGGACACAGGGCACCAAAACCTCTTCCACCCCGTGTCCATCTCAGGTCAGTTTTTTAAATCTGGGAGAATATGGCAAGATGAAAAACAGTGTACCAGCAAAGCTCTGGAGGCAGAAGACTCATTTCAAGACATAAATACAGATTCTAAATGTAATAAAAATGAATAGAGCCACGCATCTCTTGCGTCAGTCACATGGGAGAATCCGTAGGACATCAAAGGGACTTTCACCACAGCCAGTCACCACCCTATAAGACACCCAGTCCTGCCAGGGCTTCCAACCTCGGAACGTCCCTCCCTTTCCTTGTCACGTGGTATGGAAAGCAGACAGAGGCCACCCCTCTGGCTCCTGGGAAAAAGGAAGGTGGTAATAGGAAGGAAAGGAGGGAACGAGAGAAACATAAGGAATCAAAACCTGGCTGTTCCAGAGATTTCAGAGCAAGCAAGAGCTGGTAAAAGCGAATCAGTACGAAAAGCAAGGGGAGGAAGAGTGAAAAGGAAGGAGAGCAACACCAAACGAACGTTTTTTCTTCGCCAACAGCACCTCCATGGGATTGAAAAGATTCCAGCCTGCACAAGGCCTTGAGATCTCAGCCTCAAAGTTGCAGAAGACCATGACATCCACAAATATCGCACCTCTATGCCCATTTTAATAGGAAGCACCACCCCCTACCCTCCCAAGATTTTGCCCCGAGTCTCAAGGAGGAGGCTTCCTGCAGTGCATCAGCCCTTCTCCCATGCTAAGCACTCACCCCGCATATAAGCACTCACTGCCGCTGACCCGGGTCCCACAGAGTCTGCAACATCGCCCACCTTTTGCCTTCCACACTCCACATGCACAGCAGTTTCTGTGATGCAACAGTGTTCATGTTTGCCCTTGCAGCTGGCTGTGGGTGAGATGAGGAAGTTTAGCCTTCAATTATGAACCATTTGTATTCAGACATAGTAGTGTGTGAGAGGAGCCTTGTTTTGTTGTCTGAGCTTTTATTTCTGCCCTAAATCAACTGTGCACAGAAGGATAGGTTATACCTGGCTCCTGATGAATATGAAGTCACTGCAGTGAGAGGCTAAACCTGCAATGCTCAAAATAAGAATCTGCCACATACTCTTCTGATGAATCTGTCTCTTTCTGAAGAAAACCAACCTTCCTTCATTAGCTGAGCACATTTCTAAAGAAGAGGAAATGGAAGTCCTGATAAACATCATTAAGTCCTGAAAAAGATTAGCATAAACAGGATGCCAAGAGGGAGATGTAATATTATTCAGATGGAATTTGAATTCTAATGCAGCACTCATGCTCAGCCTCTCCTCCTAATAGAGCAGTGAGTTTTAAAAGCCTAATTATGCTGGGAAGACTCTTAGTGCTCAGTACAAGGGTCCCCGCCCCACTGCCTGTTCCTCACTTTGCCTGTTGCCTGCCTCAGATAAAGTGAGCAGTGCTCTGGGGCAATCCAGTGAAATTATCCTTCAGTCCTTGCTTTTTTCTTTTTTTCTTTTTTTTTTTTTGTTTGAGACGTAATCTTGCTCTGTCACCCAGGCTGGAATGCAGTGGCCCCATCTTGGCTGACTGCAAACTTCTTCTCCCGGGTTCAAGTGATTCTCCTGTCTCAGCCTCCCGAGTAGCTGGGATTACAGATAAGCACCACCACACCCAGATAATTTTTGTATTTTTAGTAGAGATGGAGTTTCACCATGTTGGCCAGCCCAGTCTCGAACTCCTGACCTCAGGTGATCCACCTGTCTCAGCCTCCCTAAGTGCTGGGATTACAGGTCTGAGCCACCATGCCCAGCTGAGTCCTCACTTTTTCATAGCTAGATTTTTAGGTGAAAGACAAAAGAGAGAGGTAACAGGAAAACTAGACCAAAGGGACACCCATCACTCACCCTTTTATCTTCTAAAGGAACAAGAGATCACATACAAGAAAGATGCTTGTAAAATGAATTCTGCATTGCTGATGGTCATCCTCCCCTTTCTCAAGAGAGTGTCTGGGCTGAGCTTTAACAGTAGATGACAGCAGGACCTGTTATGTCATTGATGGGACCAGTGGAAAGAGAAAATGTGAGATCCCTTGTTCATAAATCATTGAGAATTTCAAAACCAAGACAGCAGAGCATTAAACCAAGTGTATGAAGACCCTATGTGACTGCCCAGGCTGCCTGCCATGGGTGACAGACACAAAGGCAAAAGAAAAACATTATGCCTTCCTGGGATCTTCCTCATAAGAAAGCTGAGGGAGCTGGGGATGTTGCCTGTCCATCTGCTGTGATTAGAAGGATGAGCAATGGGGCAGGTGAGGTGGCTCACGCCTGTAATCCCATCACTTTGGGAGGCTGAGGCAGGCAGATCACTTGAGGTCAGGAGTTCAAGATCAGCCTGACCAACATTGGTGAAACCCCATCTCTACTAAAAAAATACAAAAATTAGCTGGGCGTGGTGGTACGCACCTGTAATCTTCGCTACTCGGGAGGCTGCGGTGGGAGAATCACTTGAACCCAGGAGACGGAAGATGCAGTGAACTGAGATCATCCCACTGTACTCCAGCCTGGAAGACAGAGGGAGACTGTGTCTCAAAAAAAGAAAAGAAGAAGAAGAGGAAGAAGGATGAACAATGGGTTTCTTCGGTTCTCTATTTTTTTAATGTGGAAAACAATCTCCTGTCAAAAATTCAGATCAATCCTTGCTTTGGAACGTTTTTTTTTTTTTTTTTTTTTTTTTTTTTTTTTTTTGAGATGGAGTCTGGCTCTGTCGCCCAGGCTAGAGTGCAGTGACTCAATCTCAGCTCACTGAAACCTCCACCTCCCAGGTTCAAGAGATTCTCCCACCTCAGCCTCACAAGTAGCTGGGATTACAGGTACCTACCACCATGCCTGGCTAATTTTGTATTTTGTATTTTTTAGTAGAGCTGGGGTTTTGCCACGTTGGTCAGGCTAATCTCAAACTCCTGAGATCAGGTGTTCCCCCCCACCCACCTTGGCCTCCTAAAGTGCTGGGATTACAGGTGTGAGCCACTGTGCCCAGCCAAAACTTTCTGAAGGAGAAATGATGATTGGAAACCACTGGTTGCCATCACCATGTTGTTCTGTGAGGATCGAGAGGGGAACTTTCCTCTGGTCTCAAGATTTCTCTGTGCCTGAGAAAGACTATCTTCTACTCATTGTGCTCTGGGCTTTTCACAGCAACCACTAGAAGCCCCATCCCACAGTGACTTAAATGACAGAAAATTCATGGTCTCACAAAACACAAACAAAAAGTCAGGAAATAGGCCAGTCATGGTGGCTCACACCTGTAATGCTAGCACTTTGGGAGGCCGAGGTGGGTAGATCACTTAAGATCAGGAGTTCGAGACCAGCCTGGCCAATGTGGTGAAACCCTGTCTCTACTAAAAATACAAAAATTAGCAGGGTGTGGTGGCGAGACCTATAATCCCAACTACTTAGCAGGCTGAGGCAGGGAAAATCACTTGACCCCGGAGGCAGAGCTTGTGGTGAGATCGTGCCACTGCACTCCAGCCTGGGTGACAGAGTGAGACTCTGTCTCAAAAACAAAAACAAAAAAGAGGTCAGGAAATAGAACGGTTCCAGAGTTAGCTTAATCATCAGTTCATCAAAAGCTTTGAAGATGGGTTGTTTCCATCTTTCCCTTTTGCCATCTTCAGCTACTACATCCAGAATCTGACTTGAGACTCACCTTTTCTTTATTAGGTTTATGAAAGAAAATGTTCCTGCTATACTTCCAACAAAAATCCACAGAAACAAAAATATGTGTGTGTGTGTGTGTGTGTGTGTATATGTGTGTGTGTGTGTGTGTGTGTGTGTGTGTGTGTGTGTGTGTATATGTGTGTGTGTGTGTGTATGTGTGTGTGTGTGTGTGTGTGTGTGTGTGTGTGTGTCTGTATTTCCCATGTCCCCTAGAAGACAAGGGCAGGGCAGGAAGGTTATTGTCAGAATTTGAGGCAGCACAAATAAATCCCTGACAACTCTCTGGAAATCCTGAGATCTCAGTCAGAGCAGTCAGCTCAGAGCCTGCAGCTGGAGAGCCCCAGACATGTCTAAAATAATTAAAATAACAGTATTTGCCGAAACAAGAAAGAAGCTTGGAAACCAAACAATATGAAGATAGCATCTCTGGGATGTGTGTGCACATGCACAGGAGTGTGTGGCCAGAAACAGCCCGCAGGACACGGTGGATGAAAGAGGAACGTGCTCGACAGTTTACACAGAAACACTGTCTGCTTTCTTCTTTTTATAGATCCTGGTCAATATTCCTGTGCTGTTAAGAAAAAACAGGAATTCTTCTCAAATGGAATAATACCTAGTCATGTGAGGATAAATATTTGTGAGTCACACTGAAGTAATTACCTTCAGGGCATCCCGATTCTGAGAACTCTCGTGCAGCACAGCCCTGTGGTATGCACCGTCCTGGGCCTCCTTCCAGAATCAGGAAAACAGAAGATGTAAACGCGTCCAAAATGGATCTCCCCCCAATAATCACTCCCTTCACATCTTGAAATTTTTTTTTTTTATTTTGACAGTATATACTTTCTTTCCATGCCCTTTGATGAAATTTGGAGTCGTTGCCAGTTGAAGGAAGATGAATGTTGTTTAGATTCTTTGTGGCGAGTCATCCAAGTATGACAAAATTGTGCATTTTCTAGACACTCCAAACTTTAAGAATAAAAAATAAAGTAATTCATATTTTAAGTGACAATATTATCAGCCTGAATATCCTGATGTGTGGGATTAGAGTGATAAACCTTGGCATGCAAAGAAATATTACTAAGAATTCTGTTTTTATGACCACAAAAAGTAGCAGTGTATAATCTCCCCTGTGATCCATTCAGTTGACATACACAAAAACCTGAGTATGCTCTAATGGCTTGGAATTCTTCTTTTGCTGTTACTGCAATTTGAAAGAATGAGAGCTGCTCTCCATTTGTTGCAGCAATCAAGAAAGCCTTTGTCAGATACCCAAACTTGGGTGGAGGTTGGCCTGGTACACAGAGCGGCCAGTAAGATGACCTATATCAGGCATTCTTCCAGGTATAGGGAGAAAGAGCAGTGGCTGATGCTAATGGCCACTGTCCACCTGTCCAGCCACTCAGGAAGGTTCTACCTTGCTTTGCAGAAGCGGGCCAACCCATGAGCCACTGGGGAATGAGAGCTATGGACACTGAGGGTTGAAAAAAATCAACTCCCTATACGCATTTAAAAATATAGCAGACATATTATTTCACTATAAGCCAGGGCTCCCAGAAAGATCAGTTCGTTTTTGAATAGAGGCCAAGTCCAGCAAAAGGAAGTTCCTCTAGGGGGCCTGCCTAGAGCTTAGCATGCCCAACCATTGCAGGATCTTCGTTCTTGCAGGGCTTTGCTCTGCCTCACTCATTCTCATTAGGGCCACTCTGTTCTTGATGCCTTAATGCTCCATTTATTCAACAAGCCGGGGAGGCGTCTAGGCTCTGAGATTAAAAAGTCATGATATGGCAGTATCTTGAGGTCCGAGAAAAAAGCCACCCAGGAATCATTCTCACTAGAGCCATAGCTTATAGCATAAAAACAAACAGGTAGAAAAGTAAGTGCCAAGAATTTCAAAGCTGGAAAAGTAAATAACTCCCTTAAATGAAAATATGCACTTTTGATATTATTCTGTTTCATGAACATATTGCTCATAAAACTCTTCCCTGCAGGGGCACTGGATATGACTGTTTATCTGGGATCCTTTCATTCATCACCCACACTGTTTCCAGCAAACCTCCCATTGACCAAACTTTCTCAAACCCCCATGGCAATGTAAACCCTAGAGGGTAGGGGATTTTACCTGCTCTGCTCACTAATGACACCTACGAACTCCAGGCATGCCTGATACACCGCGGTAACTTGCTGAATAAATGAATAAAATAATAACATCTGCAGTGTGATAAGACGTAACAGGTCACAAAGTGCATGCACATCTGTTTCCTCACTTACTCTCCACAGTCATCCTGTGAGGTGAGGTTTTATTCTTATCTTCATCTCATAGGAGAGGAAGACAGTGTTAACTACTGCCTGAAAGTAGGTACATGGGTAGTTCAGCATGTGCTCAGTGGGAGGCAATTCCAGCTCATCCAGTTTCCATCCCATGCCTCCTCCTCCTCCTCACACCCAGGTGTGGCCTGGCTGACATATCCCTATGGCTTGTTTCAGGTGGGTCTTTTTCGCAAGTCGGGGGTGAAGTCTCGAATCCATGCCCTACGCCAAATGAATGAGAACTTCCCTGAGAACGTCAGCTATGAAGACCAGTCTGCTTATGATGTGGCGGATATGGTGAAGCAGTTCTTCCGGGACCTCCCTGAGCCTCTTTTCACCAACAAGCTCAGCGAGACCTTCCTCCACATCTATCAGTGTAAGTGGAAATAATGAGCTTGGTGTTCTCGTGAGCATCCTT